TAAATAATTTAGACATACTATGTCTGTTTATTTTATTTTTAAACCTTTCGAGTCCACAAATCAATTTCTTGGTAGCCGTAGAAAATTGATTAAGAAAAATACCAAAATTATCTTTCATGTAATTTTTATTTTCCCAAGTAGTTTCAGCCCCACCTGAGATCATCTTCAGTAGGTTAAATTGTCTGTGTATGTGTATACGTAATTCTTTTATTGCTCATTTTACTGCGCTTTTTATCGTTGTGTATCAATTTCAATTTTACGAGTTTTTTCCATGCAAGAGAGACAACTTTTATTTATTTATTATTATTATTATTATTTACAGACACACACACACAAAAAGCACACACACATATATATATATATAACTTTGCTGCTACAAACATTATTGCTATACTCATAGATGACTTTAATTATTTTGTGCTTTAATTTTCTTATAGAAAGGCTTCCTAGTATTTTAAGTTTTAGCTTATTATTATTTTGGTGTAATATAGATGCATGTTCAACTAATATGTGTATAAACTGTGACTGTGGATATAAGTGTTCCTTTAAATGCTGTAAATTTGAACTATGCTCATCCAAGTGAAATGTAAGACTTCTCATCAGCATCATCGTTGTAAACCCAACATCCGTATTAACATTTTTATCAGTAATGCAATCTTCCAATGAACATCTAAATTTATATACAAAGTTGGCCTTTTGTAAGATGCTAATTGAGACTCTAAACATATCAAATTATTATACCAAAAACAAATGCATTCTAACTATAAGCAAGAGGAAAACAATTCTAAAAACACACAGAAACATTAGCGTATCCCCCCACTGATCCAAGTAAAAAAGTGAGGTTGGTTGTCTAGAATACTAAATTTAATACAACTAATCTAGTTATCAAAAATGATTTTTCTCCGTCAACTAGCATTTTACAAAAAGCCAACATTGTATATAAATTTAGATGTCCTTTGGGACGTTGCATCTTTGACAAAAATGTTTAATATGTTTCATCAATGCAACGATGCTGTCAGGGAGGCTGATTGCCCTTTCATTGGATGAGTACAGATCAATCTTATAGCATTTAAAGAAACAATCATGTCCACATTCACAGTTGAGACAGATATTAGTTGAAAATTCATCTATTTCAAAAAAACTGATTCGTGGAACAGACATAGTATGTCAAATTATCTAACCAAGCCTGTTTGTGTTTTTATATATATATATATATATATATATATATATATATATATATATATATATAATATGTATGTGTGTGTGTGTGTGTGTGTGTGTGTGTGTGCAGAAAATGATAAATACTTTATTTGTTTTATATGGGTTCTCAATCTTTTTGGACCTTATTTAAAGTCATCTATTTTTTAGATTGTAAAATTATCAGGAGATAATAATGACCTATTAACCCATAGCTGGGGGGAGGCTAAATGGATTCATACCCACCTGGCGTATATTTAAGTGTAAATGAATATGAAGAGATCGACAGGAATTAGAAATCGTCTTTCTGAGATTCCCATTCAAGTCATTATCCACTGCACCATCCGCAAGCCTAGGGCACCTGATACTCTCAAGCGGCAACCCATCTAGTTACTGCACAGTCTCGACATTGCTTAACTTCGGTGGTCATACGAGAACCATTGTTTCAACGTGATAGATCGTCAGTTTAGAGAGATGAATTTTTTCTCTCTTTTTTCTCTCTTTTATTAGTTTTTCTTTGCTTTCTTTTTACCTACACTCTCATTTTCTTTTATTAAATTTCTTCTTTTTTTCCCTTTCTTTCTTTTATGAATTTTTCTTTCATTATATCTATTTTAAATTCTTTTATTATTTATTTATTTATTTATTTATCATACTTTTTCCTTTCTTTCTCTTTTTATTGTTTCTTTCTTTTTTTGTACCTTCTTGTTTTTCTATCGTCGTTCTTTCTTTTCTCGTTTTTTTTTCTGTCTTTCATTTATTCGCCCCTTCCTTCTTTTTCTTTTTTAATTTATTAGTTTTTCTTTCCTTCTTTTTATCTACGTTCTTTTTCTTTCTTTTTTTCATTATTTTACTTATTCTTTTTGTCTTTTATCTTTTTTCTTTCTTTTTCATTAATTTTGCCACTTCTTTCTTCCGTTTTTTCTTTCTTTTTGCATACTTCGTTTTTTTTTTCTTTTTCAGTCTTTTATTAGCGTTTCTTTCTCTTTTTCTTAATTCAAATTTAATGCCGATATTTTTTATTTTCTTTATTATTATCAATTATTTTTTTCTTTTTAATTAGTTTTCTTTTTATTAATTTTATTACGCTTTTATTGATATTTTATTAGTTTGTCTTTCTTTTTCACTTAGTTTAGTCTTTTTAATTTTTTTCTTTCTTTCCGATAACCCACCTTTTTTTCTTTCTTATTCTTTTATTTGTTTTTCTTTCTTTTTTTTTATTTTCGGTTTTCTTTTCTTTTTTTTTTTTTTTGTTCTTTTTTTTTTTTTTCTTTTTTTTTTTGTTTTTGTTTTCTCTTTTTGAATAAACTTTTTTTTATTTTTTTTAAAATTTTTTTATTGTTTTTGAATAAAATGTTTATTTGTTTTTCTTTCTTTTTTTCTTTTCATTTTCGGTTTTCTTTTTTCTTTCTCTTTTTAGGCTTTAATTTTTTTCTTTCTTTTTTTTTAGTTTTTGTTCTCTCTTTTTGAATAAACTTTTTTATTATTTTTTAAAACTTTTTTTTAATTCTTTTTGAATAAAATATTTATTTGTTTTTCTTTCTTTTTTCTTTTCATTTTCGGTTTTCCTTTTTCTTTCTCTTTTTAGGCTTTAATTTTTTTCTTTCTTTTTTTTAGTTTTTGTTTTATCTATTTTTCTTTCCTTTATTAGTTATTTTCTTTCTTGCTTTTTCTTTTTACTTTTTACTTTGTGTTTCATTTGCGTTTCTCTTTATTCAATTTTTCTTTCTTTTTTTTTTCTTTTAACTTGTGGCTATCTTTCTTGCATGTTGAATGAAATTTCCTTCTTTCCAGACCCCCTTTATGCATCAAGATTGACGGATGTTGATAACTTTATTTCAGATAACGTAATTTCTCCCAATTCAAATAATCCATCAGCGGCTGAAAAGGATATTTTTTTTATTTTATGAATTATTCTGAGTGACATCATCATCTTTATTGATTTTTCATATACGCTATCCGCCCGCAATCTCTTCAGACTTCCTCATGATATCTGAACATCTGAGATAATAAATTATCATTATTTCATGATTTACTCAAACTTGTATCAGGAACATTTCGTTAGAAACAAAGAAATGGGTACCATTATGTAATATCGGTCCTCCTATATGGCAGTGAAAACTAGACAATCTCATCATTAATGAGGCAACAAAATTGTCGTTCCACAAAGGATGCTAAGAATGCCATGGACTGAACATGTTAGAAACGAGGAAGTTTTAAGAAAATCGGACACAAAAGGATATTTCTACTTAATCATAAAAATACCGTTGACATTTCACGGGAACATAATGAAAAAATTGGAAGTTTTACACTTACAGGTACTTGTGTAAAAATATTTACATATAAGCTAGTATGGACTGCAGCCGAGAGGCTCCTTTCTAGAGAAGGTCCCTAATGGTCCTTTCTTCTTGGACCTCTGATAAAACTAAAAATTAAAAAGATGTATTTATAGTGGAGATTTGTTTATTTTCAGATTTAATGAAGCTTATTTAAAATAATTTGAAAGAATTTACATTATTTTGGCTCCTCCAATTGGAGTGCGCCTTTTAAATTCGATTGGGCCCCTTGAGACGGCCCCATTTAGATTTTGATGCAACTTTTTATATACATATAGATTTGTTGATGTAGCTTTTTTAGTTTTGCATAATTTTGTTGAAGTATTTCATATTTTACACCGGAGAAGCATCATCTGATAATCTATCGATTTTTTTTTTAGAGATACGGAGGTGGGGGCGAATATAGATAATAAAGGGGGCCCCACATTCTATTAGTCGAGGGACCACTTAAGGTCTAAATCCTGCCCTGCTCCCAGGGTATATTGAAGAAAAGAGGGACAGCGAGAAGCAGCGAATAATCTACCTAAGAAGCCTGTTGCGAAAACAGGGATGAGATATAACACAATACAAAGACAGATTTTACTAAGAGCTACAAAAGACAGGTAATTGCGAAAAGCTACGATCACCCAGTTTTTGAAGAGACGAGGAACAAAGAAGAAGAAGAAGAAGAATCATTATCATCAACATCATATTTCTTAGCATTGTCTGGCATTCTACAGGGTGATTCGAAAGTCTTGTCACCCCCATATAATATACTTTTCTATTTCAACGCTCTGTGGGCGTTATTATCCCAGAGAGTGTTTCACATGAACGATACCAGAATACCCATCAGTTGAAGAACGCCGTCCGGAGAGTCTTTGCAACAATCAACATCGTAAAATATCTCACAGGACATGCCACCACATCATTTTATGCCACAAACATGATGGTGTTCATACAGACCTTCTCGATGTGTGACAGCGTCAATGAAAGTGAATAAACCGAATCCAGTACATGTGCTTTGTATTACTACTGTATTACATATTCTTCTATTCTCATTACTTTTGTTAGGGATGACAAGACATTCGGACCACCATTGCCATTTTTGATGTATTAAATTTTTTTTGTAATCATTGCTGTTTCAGGTGCGATGTCTCATTAGTTAAGCTGTCCAGTCTTCTTCAGTATCAGTGAAGCAAATGTAACATAGAGACAGACAAACAGTTATAAATTTGATAATACATATATATAGATATGTTGTAATTTACTAAGCAAAATTTAGAATTTCAAATAAGCTTAGCAGTTTGGTATCCAGAAAGGATTGTACCCTATTTATTATTATCAATTAGCTTTTCTTTTTCTTTTTAATTAGTTTTCTTTTTACTAATTTTATTACGTTTTTATTGAAATTTTATTAGTTTATCTTTTTTCATTTAGTTTAGTCTTTTTAATTTTTTCCTTTCTTTCCGATAACCTACCTTTTTTTCTTTCTTATTCTTTTATTTGGTTTTCTTTCTTTTTTTATTTCCGGTTTTCTTTTTTCTTTCTCTTTTTTAGGCTTTAATTTTTTTTCTTTCTTTTTTTCTTACTTTTTGTTTTATCTATTTTTCTCTCCTTTATTAGTGCAAAATGAGATTGCTAAATATTGCCCTTCTAAAAACACCCTGAATAAAAGATATTTACAAAATTCATCTTTGGCGTGAAATATTAAAAAGTAAAACACCCAACTTTCTGTTTCATCTCCCTTCAAAACTTAGATTATGCCCCTAATTTATCTTTGTGGTACTTGTTCCCCTAGACATTTTCCACTCTCCATTTCTATGTAATATACTTCTTAAGGACTCCTTGAACTTTTTGTTGTTAGTAATACATATAATATACGCTCTCTTTGTTTTTTTCATTAAACCTTTCAACCAATTGTTCAAATTTGTTAAGTACGTTCTATTCTGCCTCATTATCCTACACAAATATTTGATATGTTTCAGTGTTCGATTCTCCAAGCCGCCTCTCCTCATTACACGTTCCAATTTTGTTACATCGGGTGTAACAGCAAAATTGTTCAAATCGTGTAACAGTAAAATCGTCCAATTGTTAGATGAAGCTTTGAACCGTTATATCGTAGAAATGATTAAAGATATCTTACTGGAATTTGGGCACCTCGACGTGGTGTAATGGTTAGAAAGCTTGTCTTGCTAGATCAATTACGATTGAGTAGTGAGTTCGATTCTCACTGGGTGCCTCATACTTTCGGCCTTGTGCCACATCTAAGCTACGCTTAGAAAACCACTTGGGCACCTTGAGGTGGTGTAATGGTTAACAAGTTTGTCTTGCTAGAACAATTACGACTGAGTAGTGAGTTCGGTCCTCACTACCTACCTCTACTTTCGGTCTTTGCCACATCTAAGCTACGCTTAGAAAATCAAAGGGGCACCTCGACGTGGTGTAATGGTTAGAAAGCTTGTCTTGCTAGACCAGTTACGACTGAGTAGTGAGTTCGATCTTCACTGGGTGACCCATACTTTCGGCCTTGTGCCACATCTAAGCCGGGCTAAGAAAATTACTGGAATTCTCCGAGTTTATTTTTTTTTAACACTATTGGACTCTGCTTTGAGAAATAAGAATGTAATTAACTCTATTGAAATGATGATCCCTCTTCTTATTGTGACCCCCAGATCCAGTTTTCCATTCTACTGTTCCCATTTTTTAAAACTTATTCACCGTTCTCTTAATAGTTCTTGAATGGTCTTTGAAAATGGAAGCAGTATTTAGTCACCCCCCCCCCACGAGGGCATCATGTGGCACAAGGCCGGTTTAACGTGGGCTCTCCTAGCCCGTGGGCTCGGCCAAAAATATGCCCTTTGAACCCGTATAAACGGGTTCAGGGTCGGTTTACCTCCCCGAAAGAGACACCGCCCTTCGGCGTAGCCTCGTTCGGGTTCCTCCCCGCCCTAAACCGATCAGCCGGTCAGCCGGTCGCCCGACTTCGGACTGAAAACCTGATTTTTTTTCTTCTTACCATAGCTCAGTTGGGAAGACAGAGGGGCTAACAAAAAACGATTTTAATTTGTTCGCTTTCTAAGGGAATAACTCAAAATAGTTTTTCAGTGATTCTTACGACAAATGGTATCAAGATGGCTAAATGTATTATCTGAAAACCTGGAAAAAAGAAACTCAATTTTGTGTTTTTTTTTTTAGATATTAAACATTTTGCGGGATGAATAATTATGCTGTTACATGATTTTGCTGTTACACACGGTACCTCACAAATACTTGACGTGTTCAATTCTCCAAGCCGCCTCTTCTCATTAGGCATTCCACTTTTATATGTTTTTTTTTTCTGATTTTGAATAACAATATTTCTGTCATTTCTACTTAAAATTTCATTATTTACGTTATTCAGACTATTGTCCTCATCTTTGTCACCATATTTGTCACAACGTTTCGGCCGTTGTACGCTCCAGCCTTCTTCAGGTGGTTGGAATGTCGAACTGAAACCTTTAAAATTTCATGTTTCTCATATGTCCTGTTTATAGTATACACGGACTTCATCTGTAGCCTATTGTAACGAAATTGCCTGGTATTCACTGCTGTATAGGAAGGCAGACCTTACATAAAAATCTATCACTATTTATTTAATTTCTAATGCTATCTTAGTTTTCTCGAAACTTAATTTCTAAAAAACATCTTTCCTTATTATCTGTTGCCATTATTGATTACTTACAAGTCCCAGATAAATGAATTTTTTCATCTGGTAAATTTTGACTTCCCCGATATGTAACCCAGATATTGGATTGCCCCTTTTGCTGACAACCACGAATTCCGTCTTTTTATATATATTTTTTTCTGGAAACAGTTATATATATTGCTAATGTTAATTCCGCTGATAATAAAACCGATTAACCCTTTTAACGCAATTCCTATCATCTCGCTGTACAAAGTTAAATAAATCCGGCGAGAAAAGACGTTCTTGTTGCATTCATCTTTCTAT